GAATGTACAGCGCTCGCAAGTCCAGGTCGTCTGTTGCTTGTGGCTTTCTATTCAGCACATCGCTTCCCTGTACAAAGGGGAGGATGGTGCCTTGCCGTAGCATCTCCGTCAAACAGGGCTTGTTTCGAATAAAGTTATCCTCTAAACTGGGCAACTGTATCTGTACATCGTCGGTCGATATGAACTTCAGCTGATCAATGCCACATTCAATAAAAGCGTCTTGCAGGTAGCACGCCCAGAACAATCTGCGACGACTCTCCTTGACGGCCCACGGAATAGATTCCTCTTGTTCACACAATATATCTGCGTCGTGCTCCACGTTGAGCTGTAAGATCTGGACGTGCCGTGCTACCATGCCTGACATGAGAAAGGCTTTGGCGTGATCTCCTACTCGAAGAAAGTGCTCATGCAGCAGAACAGCAACCATCAGACATTCAACTCCCAAGTTGCCGAAGCTGGTGCACACACACTGCATGGCACTGGCTGCCCATCCTCGTCCAGCATGATGAAACTGTGTGATTGGTAAAGGTCCCTGGTCTGAAGATGCAACCACGGCCCGAGCGTAATAAAAGGGTGCAGCAAGTGCGCAAAGAATATATATGAGCCCGGATCGATCATCATTAAAGGCGTCATCGTCTTGGAATCGCGCCATAAACGTAGGAATATGCAGGAAACCAAAGCATCGGACGGTGTGAACTTGTGACAAGTATATGTCTAGCAGTTCACGCACGCGATGTGCGGGAGGTAAGCTCCGCGAGGTCAACCAAGTTGGCATATCGGTGTCAACCAGCGCGTGTGATGAGCGGCCATTGCGATCGTCTCCTAGACTAATAAGGCTGGATCTCGAGCCGCACCTCTCAGGATCTTGAATCGGATAAAGACAATGCAGGCCCTTTCTATTGCATCGTTTGCACAGAGGGTCCCCAGAGCACTTGGCTTTGGACCGTTGACATTCTACGCAGGACCTGCGAATACGTCGCCGTCTCAGACCAGCTTGTGTGATTTCATGAGTACCTTCTAGATGACCATGACCCTTGGCTGGTTTCATGGCATCCCCCTTTGTAGCGTAGATACATTCTGTGCCGAATTTGATGCATTTACGGCATGATCCCGGTGTGCGGTCGCATTTCACCTGTCGAGTCTCAGTAAATTGCCTAGAATATGAGTGAGGAAAATAAACCTTGCGTTTGCGACAAACGACACAGCTCTTGGGCTCCATTTCGTATCATGCCATTCTTCCTGATAGATCCCGGGTCGATGAGGCGAAGTGAAATGTCAAAGGAAACTAACTCATGCACGTGGAGGATGCAGACGATGGAGGCTCAGGACCCTGTCACTTCCCCAGGTACGTTATCTCTTCCACAATTGCGGGGGCCCCAGATACGCCTTCAACAGGTCGGATGTTGCCATTGAGTTGTTTCCGACTAGCGAGTGGCTCCATGGTGTTGGGATTTGTACGGAGCAGGGCAGCGGAGTCTGCTGTGACCTGTCGATGCCTCAATGCAAAGCCCCAATGGGGAGTAGACGGGCGAAGGGAATGAAGGCTGGAAGCCCTGAACATGCCAAACATGCAACACAGCAACCAACATTGGCTGGATGATGGGTTTGATAAAGATGGGCTCGATAAGTGGTGGACTAGGCCCACTGAGTGACACCACTGTGGAACGGGCAGTCGCAATCCTCGTAGTTTCCTCTTCGGGACCATCGCGGGCGAGATCCGCCTCGTAGCGGATATCGTCCCCGAGCTGCTTCGACAACCCTCATCTCCAAGGTCAAGCCACCACCTTGAGGTTTACACTAGCGAATTCTTATCCATGCTAATGCGAAAGAACTTGAGCTATACTCGACATGCAACAGACTTGGCGTATTCTTATTTACGTATTTTATTTAAGCAGCCGGTATTCCCATTTAACCCCCTAGTTCAAATGAAAAACAATAAACATCTTACTATTGCCACTTACACGCTTTTAAACCGCCTTCCCAACCTAAAGCACAATGCTCGCCAAAATCTTGACATTATCCTCTTTCTTAGGTTCCGCCATCAGTGCCAATAACTTCCGTGTCTTTGATAGCACGGCCTACACCAACACGTCCATCGGCTACGGCACATCCAACATCAATTGGATCCCCAATTACGTCTGCAGCCCACTCGTCGCCAACAACGCCATTCCCTCCGCAGAGACATGGCAATCCATCGTGCTGGAATGGAACATCTACCCCGGTTATCCCCTCGTACTGGACTGCGAGAACATCTACCTCACCTCGCCATCCACCGCGGACCACAACCTGGAAGTCATGAAGACGCTGCAGACCTGGGCCGCCCAAGTTCTCCCAAGTGATCAAATCATTGGGTGGTACGGCCTCTCGGGAAACACGGCTGCGTCATTGTACGGACACTACCAGGGCCTTATTGCCAACCATAGCGCCCACGCCTTCTTCCCTTCAGCTTACACATTCTCGAGCAGCCTCACTACTTGGAATGCCTCTCTTAATAGTGTTCTTGCCAAGATCAAGGCTATAGATGCCTCCCTTCCTGTGTATCCGTTCACGTGGCCACAGTACCATGGTTCTCCTTATGCCTTTTTCCCTGTTGACTTGTGGAAGAGTCAGTTGGATGTGTTGACGGGCAATCAGGATATAAATGGCTTTGTGATTTGGGGTGGCAAGAATCACCAGGTCTGCGGCGATGCATGCCAGGCGAGTGCGGGCAAAAATCCCTGGTTGGAGGCGACTCGGACGTATTTAAAGGATTTGTATGGTATTTATGACGGCGCATCGCAGAAGCAGGGAGGTCAACTGTTCACTGGGGTGTGATGTGTGATGGGAGATTTACTCTTAATTCCCAGGGTCAATTCTCTAGCTCTTTAGTTTATCTATTTGTAAGATACAGACTAGGGCAAGATTCTTGTCCGAACTCACAAAGATATTTGTTCCACCGATATAATATGCTCCCCTAGTTGTTGGCTCTTCTTGGCGATGTCGTAAACCTGCTGGCGCGTGATGGTCTATGAGAACATAAGGGCGATGGGCAAAGACTAATTAATGGACACAGATCACACTGCCAATCATTGAAAAGAGGCCCGCTTTTGGCTCCTCCGTGGCCGCATAATAATGTGAGCTATTTGTATAAAGGCCAAGGATGCTATGATTGTTGGGGACAATTGTACTGTCTGCGTTGCTATTCAATACCCAAGGCTAGACCATCTACGCAGGTCCAGTCATCTTTTCATTTACCTGTTCCTCATTGCTACTCCCTTCTCCAACCAACAACTCCCTCCCAACAGCTAGCACAGCCGGAACTGCGACTACCAAGCTGCCAATACTCATACCCCAGTTCATTGCAAACTGCGTCATAGCAGAGTATCCCTCAGCATTTACCCTCCACGCCATTGAGCCTCCAGCCGGTTTCAACGCCGAATATGTGCCAACAATAACCGCATTCACCACAGGATTATGTGACTGCGCACCAATGATCCAGTAGCAGTAAGACTGCCAGAAAGAATCGTACATGCCGTAAAAGAAGTACAAAAACATGGGTCCAAGGAACCTACTTCCATCCGTATAATCAATATCCTGCTTGTGCCCGTGACGTAACCGTTCATCGTTCCAGAGCTGGAATTTATACCCGCCACCCCAGATGGCCATACCGGTGATGAAGAGGACGGCCCAGCCTGTAAGGGCGCTGGATTTGCGATTAAATCTGCGCATGTCGAGAATGAGGCCCATTAGAAGTCCGCCAAACATCTGGGCAATCCAGTAAAGAGCGCCATTGAGTGATCGGGTTCGCAGATTGAAGGTCTGTCCATTAACGTTATTCTGCTGGTACGAATAGAAAACATTCGCATTGAAGAACATGGGGTACAGGCACATGATTCTCCAGTTCAGCACGATTCTGGCGGTTTGGAGCATAGACTGCTTCAGGTTGGCCCAGGTGACGGCCTTGGATTCGCGGGCGATGCGAGTGCCGGCATACTTGGATGACAGTGCCTCGGTCGAGCAGACGAGTACAGAGAGCGACCACCCAAAGAGCATGACAACAATGTAGGCGACATATGTTGAGTCGGTGACGGTGCCGGACTTGGAGTGGAAGTTGAGCGCGAAACTGATGAGCGAGCCAATGGCGCCGCCGAGGTTGAATATGACCCAGAACACGCCAATCGCCCTCCCACGAGTCGCGTCATTGGCATAAGTCACCATGACGGTGCCTTGAGCGACCCAGAAGAATGCGGCTCCAAGACCAAGCAAAGCACCTGCGGCAATGACAAAGGCTCCGTTCTGAGTTCGGTTGAAGTTGAGGAGCGAGCCGGCGTAGAGAGCATATGTCCAGCCTCCCAGGAGGAGCGAGGTCCGAGGCCCTAGATATTTGTAAAACGCACCAACTAAGAGTAAAGCAGCACCGGCGGTGGCAGCATGGGTAGCGACGTTGGAGTTGGCGGCGACGGTGCCGTCGACTTGGCCCGAACCACCCATGCCGGTGAGGGCATTATACATGCCTGGGTTGCAGAAGGATATGATTGAGATCAAGATGATCTGAGCCCACGGCTCATGGAGAAGCCTTTGAACCCTCGACTGCTTTGGCACAGAGTCATGTTCAACATGTGCTTCATCCATTGCGGTTGGTGCCATGGGCAAGATCCAAGTCCAAATGATGATTTATAGAAGAGATGTCTTAGATTGAAATGTAGCCAAGCATTCCTCACATTTTGCCTGGAACTTGCCGCATTTTTAAATAGTTGCAATGCATCATGCGTAATTCAAAGATAAAGACGAGTTGCAGGGTCAAACCATGGTGGTGCGAAATATTGGCGGATCACGGTGCCGAGATCCGTTGACTCGAATGTAGACCGAAGCTCGGCACCGATATTTCGGGGGCGACTGGAAATTATACCATTCAATAAAAGGGAGCCAATCTGCATAGATTGAAATGATGGCCAAATAAAGACTGCATCAACGCCACTTTTGGCCATCATCCCCCTGCACATTCGACAATACTGCTTGCCATGGCGCCATCGACGGACCCTCCTCAACACGAGGCTCTTGGTGCCCTTCAGACGGAGGCAATCAGCCCTCTAGCTGGCACTACGGAGTCCTTGGACACATTTGAACTGTGTGTCGCGTTCAATCGAGAAGAGGCTCGTGTGGCATCTTCAATAGCATCCAGCCTACCGGCCATTGCGGCCCTGGTCGATGATCTTGTTCCACGCCTCCGCTCCGGCGGACGGCTTATTTACATCGGTGCTGGTAACAGCGGAAGAGTTGCCTACATGGACTGCACAGAGCTCCCGGCGACATTTTCCGCAGACCCGGCACAGTTCCTCGCCGTCGTTGCTGGCGGAAGCCGGGCCGTAGTGGAGGCGGTTGAAGGCGCGGAGGACTTGCACGACGATGGCGCGGACAAGATGCATGAATTGCAGTTGAGTCCACTAGACACAGTCATTGGCATAGCAGCTTCTGGCAGGACACCGTTCGTCCTTGGAGCGCTCAAAATAGCCATGGAACGCAATGCCGTTACAGCGGCTATCACCAATTGCCGGCCGTCCGCCATTGAGAAACTCGGTGTCACTCATCCCATTGCCGTCCTGGTCGGTCCCGAGTTTGTCACAGGGAGCACTCGGCTTAAGGCTGGTAGCTGCGCCAAGCAGATCCTCAACATGATTAGCACTTGTGCCATGATCAAGCTGGGTAAGACTTACCGTGGGCTCATGGTCGATGTGCGGGCTGTTAATGACAAGCTCAAGGCGAGGGGAAGGCGAATCGTGAGCCAGGTGTGCGAAGGGCGACCATTGCTACAGAACATTAGGCCGCATGTTGCCGTGCAAGGCACCACCGAGAACGACGACATCGATGATCTTGACACGACCATTGATGCCCTCATTCAGAAGTGCCATGGCAGTATCAAGCTAGCCTGCGCAGTTGGGCTTTCCGGGTTAGAGCCAGATACAGCAAAGCAAATGTTGACTACCGTCCAAGGAGACCTGCACGGCTTTATCTGTACCCTTGAAGCCCAAGCTCCAGTTGAGTCGGCTGATGTCCGTCAACAAGAAGACTATTTCCTCTGTGTGGATGGCGGCGGGACAAAGTGTGCTGCTTCCATTGCCTCCCGCAGGGATGTTGTGGCTCAAGGTGTTGCTGGAGGTTGCAATTTGAACTCGGTGAGCCTGGAGGAAGCTGTCGACCAGATAAGGTCTGCGATTGACAGAGCCGCAGGTTCCCTCAATGGTCACTCACAAGGAACGTGGCCGAGATTTCAAAAGGCCTGGGTGGGAATCGCTGGTTTGCATCACAGCCGCCAAGCAAAAGCCCTGACATGCCGCCTCGAACGCCTGCTAGGGGTCTCGCACCAGGATGGAAGTCTGTCTTTGACCTGTGACACTTCGCTTTTGTCGTCATGTATGAGCACTGATCGCTCCATTAACGGCTGCGTTGCTCTTATTGCTGGCACGGGTGCTGTTGCTACAGCGTTCAGACGGGGACCTAATGATGCCATTTCCCAAGTCGGAAGAGCTGGTGGATGGGGTCATCTCTTTGGAGACGCCGGAAGTGCATTTTACATCGGCCGGCGAGCAATACAAACTGTTCTAGCGAGCCTGGAGGAGAGCCAAGGTGAGCCCTCCTCTTCTCGGCCACTCAGTCCCTTGCAGACCGCCGTCTTGCAACACCTGAACTGCGATGGAACAGATCTTCTTTCCACCATATTGTGCACCAACGCCGGCAAGCAGACATCAAGGCTACTAATAGGAAGCCTTGCTCCCGTGGTAACAGTCCTGGGTCTAAGGCCTGTTCATCCCGATCAAGATGCACTCAATATTCTTCAAGACGCTGTTGAATGTCTAGTGGACTTGTTGAAACGACTGATCAAGGCTCGCGTTTCCGACCCAAGCAGAAGCATCCTTGCGCTATCCGGAGCGTTGATGAAGGTGGAACCATTCAAAGACTTGGTTCTCGACAAACTTAAATCTCAAGGAATCGCTTTCAATGCCACAGTGCTCGTCGAGGACCCTTCCAGATACGCCGTCGACTTTCTTGCCAGGTCAGGCCATATCAAGGAGTCTGTGAGGGACTTGGCTGTCGATTCAGAGGCTATTGATGTCACCAGTCAACGGTTATTGAGTCCATGTGTACTGCTGGAATAAAGAACGGGGAGCACAATATCCGTCTAGCAAAGCAGATGCTCATCTCACTAGTTACCGACCCGTTGGAAAGACGAGGTCGTGAATCCAAAGTAGAGCAAACGAGCGCCCAGAACAGAAGGACTTTCAAAAACCTTCAAAATAGCGATAGTGTAACAATAAAGGAAAAAGAAAGTCAGAATTACTTTCGAAAAAATGCCACATTCAGTTTTATTTATACTTGTTAGAGTACGCTCATCAGCAAACACATGTCTGATCCAGGGAAGGGGTTGTGATCGACGTGGAAAATAACGCCAAGGGTTAGGGTTGCTTGGAACACCCAATAAATTGATTGCAGCTAGTCACATGATGTCGCGTCACTAGCCTGCGCGCTAAACACGTCAAAGACCACAGAATCACGTCGCAGATCTATCATCTGTACATCAAAGGCAACAACGGCAATTACTAAACAAGCCGAGATAGAAATGCGGCTAGAGAAATGCCTTCCTAAATATCGGTTAATTTTTCACTTTCCCATACCACTGGGACAGAGTCTCTCCAACATCCGTCCCCTGTGCAATCTTGTAGCAAGCAGATTGGTGCCATGAAGTCATTTCTCACACGGCCAAAGCGAAAGCTAAGCCCAGAGCCGAAACCCGTCACAGATGACGATGAACCGACAGAGGTCAAGCTTGTCCTCCTCTCCTCCGTACATCCCGAGGTAGACCAAGAGACCTTGCTCGATCTTCTCCTCGCTCATGATGGTTCAGTCAGCCAAGCGTCTCAAGCTCTCAAATCCAACAAATACCAGCAAGGTGCTCGAAAGAGCGGCATAATAGGCCATCAACAATCATTGAGGCAATACACCACGGGGGATTACACATCACCGACGAAGAAGAAGCCTAAATCGAAAAAGGGCAGCACGTTGCATTTATACGACCCTGAAGACGTCGAGGAGCATACGCCGTGCACCATAATCCACAACTTTCTGCCCCCCGAGGATGCGAATTCTCTCCTCAAAGAACTCCTGAAAGAAGCCGATTCTTTTGAGAAAATTACATTTAAATTGTTCGATAATGTTGTCTCAAGTCCACATACGTCAGGTTTCTTCGTAGAGAGCTACGAAGAGATGATGGCGCAGAGGTCGGAGTATTACTACAATGGGTCCCAACTGACGGTAAGCGACAGGAAACAATACATGATAATATAAACAAGCAAAACCATATGTAGCACCACTCTAACACGGTTTGCAGGACGTCCGGCGCATTACACCAGAGCTCACCAAAGTGAAACCCATCGTACAAGCCGCCGTGAATCAAGAAATTCAGCACCGGATCCAAACCCGGTATCCCGACGGCAAGAAACTCAAACACCAGTCTCCCAATCCATGGATCCCTAACTCTGCCTTTGTAAATTGCTACAACGGGGCACAACAGAGTGTCGGCTGGCACAGCGATCAGCTCACCTATCTTGGCCCACGGGCCGTCATTGGATCCATTTCGCTCGGGGTTGCACGCGAATTTCGTGTTCGGAGAGTGCTGCCGAAGGACGGTGATACGAAATCAACTGACGAGTCTGACGCAGGGGGCCAGATATCCATACACCTTCCACATAACTCGCTTCTGGTGATGCATGCCGAGATGCAGGAGGGGTGGAAACACAGTGTGACGCCGGCGCTATCTATCGACCCGCATCCGATTGCAGGGAATAAACGGATCAACATCACATATAGGGATTATCGGCAGAGGATGCATCCCAAGTATACGCCGAGGTGTGTATGCAAGGTGCCCTGTGTGTTGAGGGTAGTGCAGAAGAAGAAGGAGAATTTTGGAAAATACTTTTGGATGTGTCATGCGGGGAATGTCCCTGGGAAAGAAGGATGTTCGTTTTTCCAGTGGGCGGAGTTTGATGATGACGGGAATCCGGTTGTAAGTGGGAATGCGGTGAAGTATTCTGAACGATAAGTGGTGGGTCACGTCGACTATACGAAGGACGTCTTTTTTTTCTCCTTGATGCATTATGAGAATCTGGAATTAGCCAACTATGTATTTATGAACAATGATTATGTCAAATGCACTCTGGTTTGGTCTGTCAGTTTGTGCTTGCTCAAATAGGGAGAATGAGACAAGGATGATGATGATGCCTTCCCAAGGGAAAGTTTCAAGCCAAGGCGAGATCACTTACATCGCTACCCGTCGTATGTAGAAGATACGAGCAACCTCTTCTTATTAGGCTGCCGAGCAAAAAAATTATACAATTCATCCCAAACCATTGCCCGCTCGCAACAAAGACGAGTAAAGTGGGTCTCCCTTTGCACTTCACTCTCTCGCTCCTCAACCTTCGCCGTCTCATGACAATTTTAACAGTGTGCTCTTGAACCATCTTCTTCCTCATCACTTTTCGCCGCCCGGTCCCCTTCCAGAAATTCGAGCCTTCCCATGGCCCAGGCCGGAATACTGGATATGCCAAGTACCGCCATGTCAGAAAAGCTGACCTTCCCCGCGCCTGCAGCGGCAGCCCTCGAGTGTCATCTCCCACGACCAGATACACAAACGTCTAACCGGCCCTTCGTAACGCTAACATTCGCAACGTCTCTCGACTCATCGCTCTCTCTCGCGCCAGGCGTTCGCACACACCTCTCCGGGCCGGGTTCCAAGGCCATGACGCACTACCTCAGGTCCCGACACGCCGCCATCCTCGTCGGCGTCTCAACCGTGCTCGCCGACAATCCAGGTCTAAGCTGCCGCATTGAAGGCTCGGCATCCCAGCCGCGCCCGATAATCATTGACCCGCATCTGCGGTGGACGCCGCGCTCATCGGATCAAGTATTCCAGATCTGCCGTTCCGGCGCTGGCCTTGCACCATTCATTCTCACTGGGCTACTCGAGGCCCAGATACCAAGGGAGTCTGTCGAGCTCTTACAGCAGCACGGAGGGAAATATATTCGCATCGCACCAGCTACATCCAGCAAGGACAGAGTACGCTTTGAGTGGAACGACGTCTTCCAAACTCTCTTGTCCGAAGGTCTCACAAGCGTAATGGTCGAGGGCGGAGGGCAAATCATCAACTCGTTGCTGAGTCCAACAAATCACAATCTGATCGATTCAGTCATTGTGACTATTGCGCCAACCTGGCTTGGAAAAGGAGGCGTCGTCGTCTCACCAGACAGAGTCTGCGATGCCGAGGGAACACCGCAAGCTGCGGCTAGATTGTCTAACGTATCATGGCACCCGTTTGGAGAAGATGTAGTCCTTTGCGGGACACTAGCTCCTCAATGATTGCCTGCGCCTAGCCATCCGATGGGAAAAGCCATTGATCCCTACATGGTCGTGTCCGGTAACGACACGTCGAACAGTATACATCTAGCAGAAGGTCCCTGCTGATGGCCCTGTCGAACACAACAAAACTACAAAACTACCAACCTATGAGCCATCGCAACACCCGACATGTTCCGTAGTAGTGGAACATCCCAATGTGTAGCGGTCGTCGGCGAGCGCCGCCTCGGGGAAGGCTTAGTTCCAACTTCCGTGTTGCTGGCACGGGGCGACAAGCAACCGCTCACCAGGTGGCCGGGCTCGGAGCGCAAATGGGGTTTGAAAGGATGCAAGTAATGAATATGAATGTTCACTCATGCATCAATTGTGAATATGCTGTGATTGAAGGTTTCGCGGGAAGCGGGGGCCAAAACTCCTTAAGTAGACGCGCGGAAGTGTTCCAGAAGGAAGCTAGCGAAATACATGCTGGATGCACCAGACAGCTTGCTTGAGTGGAGGCGCGGGCCGAGGTGGCTATCTGGAGGGCGAGCTCCAGTATCAACGGAACAGACATGCAGACTTGGGCCATTCGTCTTAAGCCATCTGCTGACTTGTAACACGATTTGATCTGAAGCGTTGTATGGTGAATTCGGTTGGGTCATGTCATTCGCTAAATTGGGTACGGCTTTGTTGGCTCTCCACGAAACCAAAAAGACGCAAGACGCAAGAGCCTTGAACATACGACAGTGTGAGTTTGCAGCGCGCCATGCCTCACAATCGCGAAGAACCTGGATATGGTTGTACAAAAACAAGAAAAGAGGGAGAAAGCACCGAAGAAGAAAAACATGTAGGTACAGACAAAGGTTCCTATAGCTACTACTAGGTCGAGGTACCCAGGTACTCTACCGACCCAACAGGCAAGCCAACCGCCGCTGCCCCACCATGGCGGCTCCAACCGACCCATGGCCAGCAAGCGATGCTGGAAAACCTACTTACTCAATCAGGCTACTTAACCGCCGACATCTGGACCCGAACCCACCAGACCAGTTTCCGCAGAAGCAACGACGTCAATCGCAAACCGTAGAAAATTCACCAGTGTTCCCACGTTGGACGGGGGTTCACCAGCCCCTTCTAAAGCCATCCATCCCCGTTTCCAATAGTCCTCACCCTCCCTCCCTCTTCTCATGTAAATCTCAACAAGCACGAAAGAGCAGCACCGCCCTCGCCCGCCATGGCATCCCCCCACCGGCCGCGCATCACCATCCTAGGCTCCCTCAACATCGACCTCGTCAGCTACGTGCCCCATCACCCTCTGCCAGGCGAGACCCTGACGTCGACGCACTTCGACACCTCGCCCGGCGGCAAGGGCGCCAACCAAGCCGTGGCGTGCGCCAAGCTCTCCCGCGCGAGCGACCTGTCCTCGCCGTCGGCGGACGTGGCCATGCTGGGCGCCGTCGGCGCCGACCAGTACGGCACCACGCTGCTCGACAGCCTCGCCGAGTACGGCGTCGACACGTCGGGCGTCGCGGTCCGCAAGGCCGCCAAGACGGGCATCGCCATCATCGTCGTCGACGAGCCCTCGGGCCAGAACCGCATCATCCTGTCGCCCGAGTCGAACCACACCCTCCTGCCGCACCATTTCGAGGAGCTGCCCGCCCCGAAGCCAGACCTGCTCATCATGCAGCTCGAGGTGCCCTTCGATACCGTCATGCAGGCTTTGAGGGCCGCCAAGGCCGAGGGGATCCCCGTCTTGTTGAACCCTGCCCCGGCCCAGGCTCTCCCCGCCAGTGCCTACGACGGGTTGGCGCACTTGATTGTGAACGAGACCGAGGCTTCTATCCTCTCCGGACGGCCCGAGTCGGAGCTGGAGGACGAGGCTGGGCTTGACGGCGTTGCCAACATTTTCCTCGAGCGTAGGGTAAGTAATGTGGTGATTACACTGGGCGGACGCGGTGTGTACTATGCCACTCAGAGTGGCAACAAGGGGCTGGTGCCTGCGCTCAAGGCGAATGTCGTTGATACCACAGCTGCTGGCGATACATTCGTCGGGTCGTATGCGCTATCTATAGTAAATGCTGGTGAGGGCAAGTTCGACATCGACGCTGCTGTCAAGGCGGCGAACAGAGCATCAGCCATTACAGTATCAAGAAAAGGGGCTCAAATATCTATTCCCTGGAAAGACGAGCTGCAATAGACACGTTTCCTGGGGAGGGGATGAATTGAGAAAAAAAAGGCGGTCCAAATGTCCCAGTCTTGACTTCTAGGCTTGCATCTAAATCTACTGGTGCAAATGATGTCTAAAACCACGATCCCCAATCCCAGAATTTAGAGTCCTTGTGCTTTAGCCCCATATCTGACCCTTGGCTTACGGCCGGGTGCATTCGAACCACATTCTTTTCCGAAGTTGGAGTCGGCGCCAATGCTCGTATTGCCCTTTCCCCGAAATAGTACATGTCGCGAACTGGACTTCTCGAACTCCGTCCTGCTTCCTGTAGTTTATCCACCGACTGTGGCCATCGACTTTTCGAGAGGCAATTTGCACGTGGCCAGTTCATAGAAGTACCATCGAGAAGGTAGCGTTGGAGTCCAGGCGACCTGTAAAGAGAATCCATGTCAAAGTCGAATGTCATGCAAGCAGATTCTGTAACCTTGGGGGTTGTAACTGAGGCAACATCGTGCCCAACGTCCTTCACTCGTGTGACCTGAGAATCCGTGATGCGCCTCTGCGTACTGATTGCTTTTTCGTCTCCCCAATGTTGCACCATCAGAGGAAACAGGCTATTCTGCGGTGCCTTGCCCCGAGGGGACCAAAGAGAGCCTCCAGATTTCTGCGTAATAGCTATCGTGGCTGTCGTTTCCATTCGACTTTGGAGGTGGCAAAGGCCACTTTGCGGTGATTTTGCATTTGTGATTTCTGGGAAAGCCGAGTGGTGGTATGATACTCGAATGTTCATAAGTTGCGTTTGAACACTCCCCAACTGACGTTCTAGTTCTTCCATTAGTTCATTAGACCTTGATCGAGTGTGTCCCATCTCGGGTCTTCTTGTCGCACTATGCAGCTGAACATGAACCACAATTAGTACACTAGTCCCAGCATAAATAGTCCTGTATCTTTCTTGTTAGTCATATACACAGAAAAGCCAACGACGGCCGGGAGACGAACGTGGGCCATGATTGTTCATGCACAACTTCCAAAATAGCAGTCCCTGGTACTGCCGACACCTCTACGGTTAAATCATACAGACACCCAAAGTCAAAGAATCGATCTGTCGACAATATCAGCAGATTATTCTAAAAGGAAGAACCAACACCAGCAGGCTGTAAACCGTACCCAGCTTGTGGTTGACATATATTCCAGCCACTATGTCATTTTGCGTCTCATTAGGTGCCAATATCTTGCTCGGCGATATCTGAGAAAGCTTCCCGGATATTTCTACTGCAACCCAAACACTAACTTCGGACCCATCCAACTCCGTTTGTTGCGGGATTGCAACGATACGAGGCGACAATATGTACGTTCTCGTATTTTGGGACATCTGCCGCGGACTTAGCCTGCTAGAGGCGGTCCCGGGTGCCTGGGACTGGAAGACCCCATTGGGTTGACAATACTGCTCAAGATTATTGTCATCGGTAGTCTTAGGCTCCATTTCGTACGATGACGTTGATGATAATCGATCGCCGTCAGTGCGCGTCCGTGGCTGGGAGGAACACGTTGACGATAGTCGTCCGCTTGACTCTGTTTGTGACGAACTGGAACGGCCAACAGGTAGGTATCGCTTGTAGTTTCTCATGTTTGGAGTCGACTTCCTCAATAGACCTCGGCATCTGGCAATCGCATCCTCCCATGATCGAGTCTGAGGGTGTCTCAAATCCACTGAACTGGCCCAAACGGCTCGTCCTGTCGGGCTCTGATGCTGTACACGTCTTTTGCACACCTGCAAATGCTTTGTCCTATCGGTTATACTCGATACATCGCTGTCACTGTCGTCTATTGCTAACTTTTTATTGGCTCTCAAATCGACATCGGAGCTATTGCCTCGACATCGCTTAACAATACGCAAAGGACTTGGCCTATCCTGCTTAGCTTTCTGGCGCCCTTCCATAGACTGCTCATGGTAAGATGCCATTCTAGTTATGTGCTGTAACCGGGCTAAGATTTTCTGCAACTAGTGGAAGAAGTGAATAAGGCATTTGCCAAGTGAAGATGCGTTGCTGAAGGTCAAGACAAAATCCCTCAGAGAAGGATTCGTCCGTTACACCAGACGTGATGAAAGCGATTTATGGCGGCCGTGGCAAGAGCAACTTGGGAAACCGCAAACGCGTCGAAAACGAAATGCGAGGTTTCCCAGGCACCGTAAACCATGGGCCCACGGCAGTCCATTGCGAAGATGCAGTCTGCAATACAATGAAGATAAAATACGACAAGCCAGGCACCCAAGTGATGAAATTTAAGAGACTGGTCTAAGTTGGGTATCAACGAGAATCGCTAGGACTAGGCTTTCTATCAAGCACTTAGGAGAGTAGGAGTGATTCAGTGGTGAGGAGGAACCTATATCGAGAAAGACTGTGGACGGCAGCCATCCACCGCAAGTGCATCCTCAGCTCGATGAAAGCAAAGGGCGGACACATCCTGAGCTCAAAGGAGCGTCAGATAATTAGGCCGCACTGCCGAGTGTACGACGAATATTATCCTTCACAGACTCCAAATCCGTTTCTTCCATTGCGAGGAAGTGAATCTACATGCGTTTTGTAAGCCTGCACTCGGTCAGTATTGGCGTGGTTTGCTTACCATTTCATCAGGCACGCCTGATCCTCCGTACAAGACGGGTTCAGAAAGACTAGCCGCAACTCCCTTTTGCACTCTGTCCTCCCACACCCCGTCCCAATTCCACTGACCAGGCTGCCGAGTCGCTGTAGTGGGCGATAGACTTGGCTCCTCTGCCTTCCCAGAAGAGCTATTTCGGACACCATCAGAATCGGAATCATCGCCACTGCTGGGTTTCTGGTCTGCGAGTTTGCCATGTTTCCGCCTGTGCGCGCGCCACGCATGCCATGCTCCGGGATTTCCCGAGGCTTCTAGAGGAACCATGTCAAGAACTTCTGGGGTATCAAAGGTGCTGCGGATATACTTCAAAATAGTGTAAATAGACATGCCTGGTTTGCAGGTCTGGCTATAGTCTGGAGAGCTCGCATGAGATGGCTCCGGCGACATGACAACACCCTCAGGTGGCGCGCCAGTCCCGTCAGACCCTGAACTATCAAGTCTTTCGCCGCTAGCCAGTCTGCTCCCAGGCTCGGTACTTTGCCCACGGCCAAACCACTGTGGGAAACCATGCCTCAGGCTGAATGCACCAGGCGGTAGTCGTTCTTGATCGGTAGCACTGCCAGTGCCCTTATCTTGAACATCCTTTGCGTACATATATGTCGTAAGGGGGGTGATGAGTGGATGGAATATGTCAGTCGAGAAGAGAATCAGGGGCGGAAGCTTCGGGTATGTGTCTGGGAAGGAAATCTGGAACCGTAGAACGGCCGCCGCGTACGGTCCTGTATCCATTTGATTAATTCTTCTAGTTACGACAGGCACATGACAGTCTCGGTCGGTGGTGATTCTAACCATCGCGAACAAACAGAACTGCTGACCAGAGTGTAGGGTCTCCAGGGGTTAGACTAAGGAAAACACCTTCGGGACATGCTTGCTTCAAGCCGGTACTGGACACGCCCGGTTAGTCATTTGAAATGTCGCACGAACTGGTCCTGACCAACAATTCGGATATTAGGTGTTGTATTCGTAATGATGGAAGGTCACCTGGGCGAGCCATCCTCACTGCATCTATCACACCCGTCAACGCTGCCGGGTAGCAGAAGATGTGGTCGGTTGCCGAACGGGGACGACGCCTTGGGAAGCTGTCTGAATTGGGCGGTGTGTGAAGCGGTGAGGAATTCTGCCGGTGGGAACTGTCGCGCGACATCATCGCGGGGCTCAGAAGGAGTCATATCGCGGGGCATAAATTGGCTGGATGAGGGCTGCATCGGGTAGCGTAACCCAGATAATCGTGTAATTAAAAGCCAGGCATTCGCTCCCTCTGTTTTTTTATTGAGTCGAGAGGGATCATTTTCTCTATATAAAATAATGTAAAACTTGTCAAATCAATACTGTTCACAGTGCTAACCCAAGCTCCTGATGTTCGATTTTTCCTTGCTACCCAAGTTACAATGAAATTCTCAGTGCTGGTGGATCACTGACCCAGGCGCTTCTCGATCTTGGACTTTTCATGAGCCTTGACTTGGTCCAGGTCGTCACGTGTGGCATTGTAAGCAATAGTAACCTGGTTGAAGGGATTCTCAGGGCTCTTGTCGAATTCCTTCCTGATCCTCTGCTTGCGTTGATCCAAGCGCAAGCCAACGCCGCTGCCATCTGCCTTCATCTCGGTGAGTCTTCGCTCCTCATACTTGGCATACGCAGCAGCAAATCTCTTCTCAGGATGCTTGTCAATCTTGGTATCGTCGGACCCGGTCGCCAGCGACAAGGCATCGAGTGCATTATCGATACCGGACGCGTTCAGTGTTGAAGGCGCACCGCCCTCAAGTTGGGAGAGGTCCAAGCCGCGAGACTTCTTAGCAGGAGCCTTTGATTTCTTGGGTTCGGCTCGTCCGCCCAGGCTAGCTTCCTCCTCCTTGAGAAGAGCATCCTTCTCGGCCTTCTTTGCAGCCTGTTCTGCCTTTTTGGCGGCCTCGGCTTCCCTGGTGACCGGAGACGACGCTTCCATCAGTATTCGTGCGCGAGATGCTACAGACGCATCATGTTTTGCCACACTTACTTCTTGGCGTTGCTCTTACTGCCCTTCTGCCACTTTTCGGATTCCTCAGCCTCCAATCTGGCATCGGCAGCTGCGGCCTTTTGCGCCGCAGCCTCGGCCTTGCGAGCGTTGCCGGCAACCTTCTTGGAGTTCTCGCCCTTCTTGCCAGCCATGACGACAACAATGGCTCGGCAATGCTCGGAAGAAGCTCGGGTGACGGAGAAGTCGGTGCAGGTTCAGACCGCTCCAGGTGTGCGCGGTTTTCTGATAGAGGATGTGTCGGGTGGTTGCGTCGGCCGATTGTTGTGATACCGGCTCAGCGTGGTTGCAATGCAGTCAAATGTTTTCGGGGGATGTCTGGTCAACTGGTGGTTGTCGGTTCACGGATTGGCCAGCCACAGCGGACATGGAGTGAGCAGGGCAGACCAGTGAACAGCTGGCTGGCATATTAGACAGCACCAGACCCGACCTGAGTGGCCCCGGCCACGACTTGAGCCTGGGTCTGGATGACAGCACATGTGCAGGGCGGCGAGCAGGGCCCAGAGCCAGCAATGCCGGCTTGCGCCTGGTAGCAGTGTAGTAGTGGTGGTGCCAGCGGTTCAGACGCAGGACACCGGCACTCTGGGGCTCCATGTCGGTTGTCAACTGGTCTTTGCTGGCATGTGCCGCGTGGTCGGTCAGGGTCAATGGCTGGATGCTCCAGCGTCAACGGTGATGCCATGCTGCACCCCACAGCCCAACGCCGGACGGGGGTTGGCGCATCTGGTTTTGACACTGGCAGGCTCCGTCTGGTTCCAGCTTCAACGCTCGAAAGCTGCCATGACGGGAGTGGCTGCGGGCGCTGGAGGGGCGCGGCGGATGCGGCAACGTCTGGTTGATACTATTGATTGAACCGCGCTGCAGCCTCGGGCCAGTCAGAGCTAGGCAGAGCCAAGTAGGGCTGCTAGCCACATATGGCCAACTCCAGCCTCGAAACATGGAAGCCTCGAGGCAGCACCTCCCAGCTCCCAGCTCCCACATGAGCATCCAAGAATGGCAGGCACTGGATGTCGTCATGGCTCAAGCCAGGCGACATGGACCTCCAAGTGCCAAAACCTGGCACCCACCTGCCGCTTGACCAGAGGCATATCGGCCCAAGCACCTGAGGATATCGGACCGTCGAGGGCCCGGCTGTCGACGTGTTGTCCACCCTGCACAGGGCCTGCTGCATGTATGTATGTACATGTATGTATGTACTGTACTCTGCGGTATCTCGCCGATGATGCCAGACCAACCTGGGCGTTTGAGCTTCCAGGGACCTGTCGTGCACGTACCGCTGGCGTGCTCGGCTGTGGTCGGCCGTTGCGTGATTGCGTTGTGGCTTTGTGCGTTGTTCGCCAGCAGCTTTGCAAACATTTGTTCCGTCCGCTTGCATTTGCACCAGGCAGACCGCACAACGCAAAGCGCGGAACGCACAACGTACAAGGCAACTCGCACTTATTGCCGACTCTGGACTGAGTACGGAGGAGACGCACACGAGCACCCCCGTTTCGGCTCTTCACCATGCATGACAAGGCCAGCCGTCAACTGGTTTCAATCAACCCCCCCCCTTCTCGCCGCCTCCTCGAGTCTACGTCCCTTTCCTCTCCTCTCCTCTCCTCCCTTCCCTCACCGGCCTCACCGGCCTCACCGGCCTCGACAAGCCCAGAAGCGATGCCAGAAGCCCGGCCGGTACTCACCACATGCCGTCTACGCGGTCACTGACACCAGACTCTTATACCGCCGCGTGGATGGCATGACTGTCAGATGACCACGGCGGAAGGGGCGCATATGCGTGGCCGAGACCTCCTGGCACAATCATTTGCTGCTTCATTATGGCCATAACCGCCATAACCCAGAACGGCACCCGGTTTGGCAGAATCATGGCAGCTGACTTCCCCAGCTGCAGACAGTCTGCATGCGCTTTCCAGCGTCAAGTTCGTTTTTGGGGAGGCCCATTGGTTACCATGGGTTCTCCGCGCCCATGAGATCGAGAAAAAGGCTCCTATTCGAGCCTGTCGCAACAACTGGCCTCCATCTGCCTATCCGTCGAGCGCAGCTTGCGCTTCAAATGCTGCCGGTTCCATGGCGAACCACATAGTACCCAAGTCCTTCAGCATCTTCTTGTGCATACATCCTCGTCCGTCACCGTCACAAAGGCGGTCCCGTGTGCTCCTTTTGTGCAACTTGGTCGACGTCATGCCGAGTTTCGGGGCATTTCTTCTCGGCGGGCGCAAACTTCTTTCATTTGTTGCAAGCCGCATTATATTCCAATTTGTGAGCAACTTGAATATCATTTTTTGTGATCAGCTCCAGACTGCCCACCGCCACAACTGGCCGTTATAACAGTGACGGTGTTCTAATTTCCCGGCGCGCGACACGGCATTCCTTATCTTCAGGTATCCAAGTACTACAAAATTACACGAATGTACGTTGCCGTCGTCTTCTCGCCTCCTCTGGCTTCTTCTTCTCTTCCTAACTTTGTGCAAGTACGTACTACCGACAAAATCAAAGTGAGATCAAACAATTAAATCAGACAAGCACAGAGCGGGGGCATTTTAATATCCCGGAATATAGATCTCATTTGTGATCCATTCAAACCAGTTCTCACAGTAGTGAGTCATGACTGGTCGTTTTTAACCGTTGAGCTGCACATCATAGTGGTCATTTCGTGCGGCACATCTCCAAGCTCGCAATATTATCTAGCCATGTGCCCAAAAGTCTCACACAAGCATTTAGTACGCACTCGATTAGTCGTCATGGCCATTGCCCTAGTGTGAAACAAACACCTCTTTCTTCATCGTCCAATGGCCCTTTGCTTCGTTTCTCTCTTGTCATTGCTGTTGTGGGTGTGGCTTGCGGTCTCACAATATCGCTCACCTGCCCAACTGAACAAAGGGACAAGGGACTCAGCATCATCACCGCCTACCTAGGGACCTAGATGCCTATCTACATACATAAGTAAGTTGTATGTACGGAGTGCGGTAGGTATAAAAGAGAGCTACCTACCAATGTCTCACCGGGGTGATTTGACAGTTTGTGTCTCATTGGGGTGTCCACCCAGCAAGCACATGGCCAGGTTTCATTGCCGCCGGTGCTTACGGAGTACACAAAGATATGCTCCCCCAAAGAGTTGCGTAGGCCAGCCCAAAAAAAAAAAAAAAAAAACAGATTGAAAAGTGAAAATCCAGAGGTTGGCGGAAGCTTGGCACGCACGCCACTGAGGTCGCTTTATTCATGGTTTCAATGTTTCTTTTTAATGCCTGACGTTAGTGTGATGGGGCATGTGTAGGGGCCTTTCAGACAACCGATCCTTGGCATGGCGTCCATGGATATGCAGAGTACTGGATCGTGTTGTCAAACGTTAGAGTTACGCAGGCCATCATCAAAAAATGCAGGAGGTCTGGCTCAACTACATGGTGTGAAATCTCGAATTCGACGTCTTCTGCCTCGAAAATGACTCCGGTGTGGCTGATAAGGTCACAAGCCATCACTAATATGGCATTGACAGCATCTTCTGGTGCATGAAACAATAACTGCTCCGGTTCAAAGTCAGCAGATGGACCAATCGGAGCTTGTTGTGTACTGGCGGTACAGATCCTAATGTCAGATATCATATTATCCTGCCAAATGTAACAGATCAGGCATTTGAATTCCGAGACGAAACTTCCCGCTGAAAAACAGTATTCAGTCAGATTCACCCCATGTACCTAAGCGGCCTAGTAATGCAGTTCATGTCAAAAACAGGAGCACAGGTAGCTCGGGCACGCTTGTACTCCGTACAACGGTTATGAACGACCAAGTCTGCCTGGGTAATGAGGTCACGCCCTGTATCAGCCATACACCTGCAGGCCATTGTGGTCAGCGCGGGCTGCAGCATCTCAGAGACAATCTCACGAGGGAGGGGGCGGGGGTGATGTCATTTCAATGAGCAATAGTCACAAAGCATGCACTAGTTGATGAGGGCCTTATAAGAATCTGGTCTCGATTAGATCAAAGTCGGCGTATACAAGCACGCCATGAGACAATTCAGGCGTTATAGTGTCTTTATATATCGTGTAACATGCCTCTCTGCCTTGTAGCATGTTCGCGTGAAAAGGATCGCCTCGGGATAGACAAGTAAATATATCTTATCAGAATCTGTGGTGCCTCATCCGCCTCCGCTGGCTCCCGGGTGCGAAGTAGTTACCAGCCTCTGCTTGGTGGTCGATCCGAGTCTCTGGTTGCTGGAGACATGTATGGGGCTGTTGCGCAGCTAAAGTCCTGCATAGAGCTGAAGATGGGGGTCGCCGTGGTACATTTCAACTCTGTACGACGGAGCAAATCAGATTGATGTACTTCAGGTATAGAAAAGAGTACTACACAACGAATGAGAGACTGGCGGGAATAGCGAAGAAACGCCGTGGTAAGGAATACGTACTGAGCTGGTGTTGCATCGTTAAATCACGGGCCTATATGGGTGTTTCTGACGATTAGTCTCCCTCTAATAATAGCAAACGACTATAGTTGATGAACTCGTCATGAGAAGTAGAAAGATACATGACTATGTATGCAGTCCACGAGCATGCCCAATTAGGCGCCTATGCCGAATTTCATTCAGTACCGCGCTAATTCCGTTTCTTGTACGTAGTACTCAGCAGGTTGGGTTCAATTTTATCCTAGAACTTGCCTTGCAGCCCTGTACGGAGGCATATTTAAAAATCGATCAGTTAAGAGCTGCAGTCGCCGTATTGGTTTCCCGTGGACTGCGTCGATGAGCGGTGAGGAAATCAGGCGAGCTGGGTGCAGCAGTCAGACGATGCTCCAAAGACTGTCCGTGTCTGCTCGCGCGAGACTCAGATCAAATCATCTCAATTGTCAATGGCCAGAGTTGCAGTTCGACGTGTACAGCTCAAGCCACGACGATCTTGGCGGACCAACCAATGCTCGTCCGAGTATGACGGCAGACGTAGCCAGGCGTCGAATCGGTCCACAGAGCTTGAAAGCAGGGAATGTGTTCGGCGTTTCGGGCACAGAGCTGTTGTTCTCGAAGCCAATGTAGCACAGAATGATTCCACAAACCAAGCCATCATCGTTCGAGTAAAATTGCAAAGCAAAAGCGTAATCTTGCATTTGCACAACTCGATTGACGCACAGGAAAGCCACTGCAACATTG